GAGCCCTAGCTCCGATCGTCTTCTCCGGTGAGGTATTTTCTTAGAACCTGCAAAATAATAAACATAAGTGATCAATGAAGACCCTACCCCCCTAATTTGAGGGTTGCGAATTCAATGGTGGCCTTAACTTTGGCTAATTCTTCCTGCATAAAGAGATACAAACAGAATAATGTAAATCAGTCCAAACATGGTGCTAAGCTATTCGAGCGTTATGGGACTCATGCAAGGGTCTAATCCTGTATTGTTACATCTCAGAAACACATTAGCATGGTCAGTATGAATTAAAGCATGGTAAAAATTAAAAATCGAAATGCATGAAAATAGGGAAAGCAATGATGCTTCATGCACATGTTTCAAGCCTCTTTGATCATCAAGAACGATTAAGTCTTACCCTATAATGTCTCAGTGATTGATTTGAGTGGTTGGTTTGCTTTGGAAAAAGCTGGAAAAATGATTTTCAAGTTTGCCCTAGTTTGACAAAAAATTGAGATTTGAAGGGTGTGTTCTTGCAAGGTTTTTCGTGATCTCCCTTGTCTAAATGAGAAGAGTATTTGTAAGAGATGATTAGGTCAAGAAAGATGAGCTTAGACCTTGTAGAACAAACTTTAATTCTTGTTTGAAAATAGAATAGAATAAGACAAAAGCATGGAGATTTGTTTTTCAAGTAAGCTTCACATGGTTTCTCATTCAATCTTGGGCCTCCAAAAGATTTGAAACAAAAGCCTTTTAAGCCTTATACCTTCACTTACTATTTATTTGATTTAATTTTGAATTTAAATGAATAAAATCAAAATAAATGAAATAAAAAATTAAAAGGGTGTAGGAATAGATTTAGAGGTCTATTATGAGGTCAAGAACAAGTTTAGACTCTAAAAGATAAGCCCATTAGCCCAAAAAATTAAGTTTTCTCAATTTGGGTTTCATGCATTTTTCTCAAAACAACCCAACTTGCACCAATCATAACTCTATCAATTTTTATTATATGGAGATGATGTTGGACTTTTTCGAAAACTCAAGGTGTCCCCTACAACTCTCATGTTGATCATTTTTCCATTTTAAGATTTATCTTGATGTAAATTTCTTTGACCAAAAGTGTCTTTTTGTTGACTTTTTAAAATGACCTATAATGTTTTGGCTCATATCTCTCAAATGAAGCATTTTTAGGCCTTGAGCTTTGAGATACAAAGTTGTAGAGAATTGATTTTACATCAAAATAGGCTTTGGTTGTGAACTTCCTTATGAAGCATGTGAAAGTTATGCTTGGTCAAAGTTCAGTTGACTTCTCCTAAAGAAAACCCTAATTTAGCAACTTTTGACTTTTGATGAATCTTGAGTTTTCTTGATGAGTTATGATCAACCCTTGATCAAATGATGAATGTAACTTCAAAATATTGATGTTGACCAAAATCTTAAAGTTTGACTATATGTTTACCACAATTGACTTTTTGCCCACTACAATTGGTTTTCAATCAACTGGCTAATTGACTTAAGCAAACTTGTGCTGCAAGGTTTGAAACTTGACATGAGGATACCTTGAAGTATTTAAGAAACCATGAAGTACGCTTGAGGAATTAGAAGTCCAATTTCCCTTGGGAAAAACAAAACCTTAGTTGTAGGTCAATGCTTAGGAAGAGGGTTTGTCTGATCAATCTTTGAGTAGTCTTGAATACCTGAGAACCTTAGGAGCATGAGAAAATATTTTGAAAATGAGAGGGAAAATTTTGGGGTACAAGATGAATCTTGTAACAAGATGGGTGTTGGATTTGACACTTTCTTCCTTAATAAATTTTATGCAGCTTTCACTCCATAGTTGTTCCGATTGTAACACTGCGTTCCATATTTCACCTCTTTTTGCAAACAACGAAGCCATCCTAAAATATGTTGATTTCACCAAAGCGTTTACTGGGAGGTTTCATATGACTTTGAATAAAATTAAATACATTTTTTCATTCCTTTAGGTACTGTGTAAGGGGTATGGATTACAGCAAGAATCTAAGGTTCAATGTCGCTCTATATCGTAATCTTTTGAATCACTTTGGTCCGGATGATGTATATAGTACCTATAAATTTTTCTGCTTTTAACTTATTTATTTTTAAAATTATTATTATTCTGATTAATTTTTATCCACAATTTATCTAGAGACCATATTTGGGTTTGGACCATGAACCAAACCTTGAGAATGCATTAGTTTGGACTGCAAAGACTGCAATCATGCGATTCAACATTGTGGAGATGCACCAGAGCGACCGTGTGTTGGCTGAAAATTTCGACTAAATCAAAATTGAGCTGAAACAATGGTACTGAATATACTTGGAGAGTTGTTTGGTTATTTTATTTGTTGAAACCCAGGAAGATTCGAATTCGAAATTGATAGTTTATGAAATTCAAATTGTGGAACAAGGCATCATTTGAAATTTGAATTCGAATTAAGGTATTACTCGAGATAAGGTTCAAAAATGTTATACTTCGAACTTTATCAGGTTTTGGTGCTCAAGACAGATAATCGAAGGGTTTTTGAATTTGAATGTTTATTCTTATCCAGAAGGACGCGTGGAATCTTTAGGATCATCGAAGACATGTCAACGGAAACGTGGCAGTAGTTCTTTAGGAGACCGTTAGGGTCGAAATTCTGTAAATTATAGCTTTTGTATTTCAATTTAGGGTGTTCACATCTTTGTATAAAATACTCAAATATACTCAAAGTACCAGTGTTAGAGAAACGAGTTAGCGAGAATATACGTATGATGCACGATATTTTACAATTCAATGTCATTTACATGTAATGAAGTTTCTTCATGTTATTTATGTTCTTTGTAATTTACGATCTAGACTAGTTTCTGGTTTATTATTTTCATAAAGAAGTTCCACTTCGATATACGAAGTGTTTCCTTTCATTTAAAAGAGATTATCACAAAAAATACGTTTTCTAAATACTAGAACACAATAGTCCTGAGATCAATCTGATCGATCTCGCAAGTAACTGAATTCGTTAAGGGATTTAGAGGATCAGAGGTTGTTTACCAAATTCCAGGGTAAACATCGTGTCAAGATGCAGTTCGGAATGCATCAAGATATATCATGCGATCCAACTTGTTTGTCACATTGACATCTCAAAAGGGTCGACACCCAACAGGGTGTTAATAATTGGAAATATTTCGCTCCAGAATAGTGTAAGATGTGACATAGGCGTCACCAATATGTCTTACAATTCCCTATTTTCCTTAACTAGATTAATATGCGACACTCAAATCAGTATATTGATTGGTGCAAATCGGTTACTAACCTTGAAATGCACGTGCCTCACCCAAGGTATTTGATTGACCCACAAACATAATGAGCACAATCATACACCACACAATAAACCCAACAACAAACTCAACCCACGTCGACCTCCCATCAAACACAACGACGATACAGATCCACCAACACCCAACCCTAAACCCAAGACCAATACAAATACACGCACATGCCCTCCACACAATCACAGTACCAAGAACAACGACCATACATCCGACATCTTGATGTGGGCCCCTCGTCATCTCACCTTAGCCCAGACATTGGCCAACCTGAAGAATATTCACCAACCAACCCAATTTACCATCAGTCATCCTATCACCATAGCACCCAACAATCACAGTACCAAATCTCACAAGATTCATTTCCTTTTATCCCCCTTATTCAGACGACCAGTGCTATCGACTCCCTATGGAACCTCACTCCAACCAATACGACCAAACTTTGAGGGCATGGGTAACCAACTGTTTGAAAGTGGATCTTCTGGATATGATGATCTGACGACTTTCATGGATCCTGAACGCATTGACTTTACAGGACCCTCGACCCAACTGCAACAAGAAATACGTCGAAATGCACCACGAGTTAGGCGACGACGCGGGTGCGGAACCACGGGTCGTTATCGAGTCCCTGGAGACAACTAAATAATGTGTAATTTTTATTCTCATTATGTAATCGTTTAATTATTTTTGAAAATCAACTTTCATTTGCAAAGACATTGCCTTTTATTTTTTTAACATAAAAAAAGAACTTTGTGCTTAGGCGCCATCTGAGATCATTTAGGGCAAAATGACATGCACCTAGGCGCCATCTCACTTGGCGTCTCCTTTAAAAAAAATCAATACATGCACCATCTGAAATGGCTACTGTTTTACGTTTTTTGAAACATTAGTTATTTGCGTAATTTTCTCTGAAACATGTGTATTTTTTTTAAAACACAATTATTACTAAAAAAAATTCTATATAACATTTTTTTTTTTTGTTAAAATTAATGTTAAAATATAGAAAAGACTTTTAAATATAAGTAGCCTCTCTCATCTAATCAGTGGTGTCATAATCAATAATCTGATGCCTGAGAAGTAGAGGATAGACACAGCAGTATGATTACCTGTTGGACCTATTGTGGTTGTAGAGGAAGAGATGTAGATGGCTCTTGGAAAATTTTAAACTGTGAAGTGCATATCTGATAATTTTTTATCACTCATAACTTATATGTAATATTGATTTAAACACTCTTTCAATCAAAGTTATCAGTCTGACTTTAATATTGGTTACCCTAAGAACAAAGTAGTTATGACAATTTTTAAAACATATTTCTTACATATAAAGAAACAAAATCTTTACTCAAGAACAAATTTTTTTATTTGAATGAAATGATTTGAGTCTGTTTCAGCATAACTAAAAGTTCAGTATTGAAACACAAACAAATTAATGTCCATACATCAAATTCACCATGAATTCCAAGGAACTATGACTTTGAATATAGTGTCAAATTCACATGTCTTACCAAAAAGACTATTGCACCTATGGTTTACTTTACTTGTCCTGCTTTTCAGTCACATGATTTCTGCCTAAACAATAGCATGGAAAATTATCTTAGATTTTGTGGTTGAGCTCTTAAATCAAACCTTTTCCAAATAGTGTATTTTTACGCCTGTATATAAGTTTTAGTGCAGGGTAAAACTTAAACTTAAACTATAAAGCAATGGTTTCTGTTAAATCAAGATCTGTAAGGTTTGCATAATCTTCCCCTTAATGTGACTTATATAGTTATTACGTTTCGATTGTACTAAATGATTATTTTCAACTTCATTTCTTTTGGTGTTACTCAGGTTTCATGATGATCTTGAAAAAGAGAAATTAAATGAAGTTGAAGAAAATCAAATGGAAATGGCGACGTATGAGATGAGTAATCAACACAAGCATGTCAAGGATGCGAAAAACAAGTCATCATCATCAAATGGAAAAGAACTTTCAAGAGTGTTTTCTGAAGATTATGATGCAGAAGAGATTTTAATATTAGATCCTAGAGGGCCTAGAGTGAATTTATGGAACAAAATATTCTTAGCAGCGTGTTTGATATCGCTGTTTGTGGATCCACTTTTCTTTTACTTACCTGTTGCTAAGAAAGAAAAGTGCATTGATATGTCACTTGGTCTTGAAGTTTCACTTACCATAATAAGGTCATTGGTTGATGCTTTTTACATTGTTCAGATTTATGTTAGGTTTCAAACCGCTTATATTGCTCCTTCATCTCGTGTTTCTGGTAGAGGTGAACTCATTATTGACTCATCGAAGATTGCTTCAAATTATCTCAGTAGAGACTTTTGGTTTGATCTTGTTGCCGCACTACCACTTCCTCAGGTATATTTGTAGTTTGCAACGAATCGACTAAAATTTGTAGTTTGTAAAGTTGGCTAACCATTTGATAATTTATATCGATGTTAGGTACTGATTTGGGCTGTAATTCCAAATCTGAGAGGGTCTGAAATGATTGCATCGAGGCATATATTGCGCCTCGTGTCGATTTTCCAGTACTTATTGAGGCTGTATCTTATTTATCCTCTATCATCTGTAATTGTCAAGGCGAACGGGGTAATGATGGAGAAAGCTTGGGCTGGTGCAGCTTATAACTTGACACTTTATATGCTTGCTAGTCATGTAAGTTACTTACATGTTAATTAAGCACTTATGCTATAAGCACTTTTTTGATTTTGATTGATTTCTTGGCCTTTTTCTTTATTTCAAAAAGGTTTTAGGATCTACATGGTACCTGTTATCAATTGAAAGACAAGATGAATGCTGGAAGAAAGCTTGTACACTTGAATTTTCACATTGTCGGTATCATTATCTTGATTGTCGAAGCCTTGGCGATCCAAATAGGAACTCTTGGCTTAGATCGAGCAATGTCTCGGGTCTATGCGATGATAACAGTGCCTTCTTTCAGTTTGGAATTTTCGCTGATGCTTTGACTTTGGAAATAACTAGCTCGAAATTCTTAAACAAATATTATTACTGTCTGTGGTGGGGATTGAGAAATCTAAGGTAACTCAGTTTGATAAATCATTAAAGAAAAAATTTTGTTCATCATTGATTCTAACCAATTCTATGCTAAATTTGCAGCTCTGCAGGACAGAATCTCTTAACAAGTACACATGTTCCTGAGATAAATTTTGCTGTGATTGTTGCAATTCTTGGATTGGTGCTTTTTGCACTGCTCATAGGCAATATGCAAGTAAGTCTTGCTATTAGCTATCTAGCTTAATTAACTGCTTGCGTAGAAGCAATTTTTACAACAAAAGATTAAAATTTAAGCTATACTGGACGTGTGTTTAATCCTTAATTTATTTTCTGATCAACAGACATACCTTCAATCGACTACTATACGGCTGGAGGAGTGGAGAATAAGAAGGACAGATACAGAAAGATGGATGCATCACAGGCAGCTTCCTCGTTACCTAAAGCAAAATGTTCGACGCCATGACCAATTCAGATGGGTGGCTACTCGTGGTGTTGACGAGGAAGCTATTCTTAGAGACCTTCCTGTTGATCTAAGACGTGATATTAAACGCCACCTTTGCCTTAATCTAGTTAGACAAGTGAGTCTGGTTTGATTTTTGAAAAAAACACATTCATGCAACACTTATTTATCATATTAATATGTTGCTTGGGGAACAAGGCAACGAAATAAGAATGAAGTATTTATTGGACACAATATGCACAGGTACCACTATTTGATCAGATGGATGACAGAATGTTAGATGCAATATGTGAAAGGCTGAAACCAACTCTATGCAGTCCCGGAACTTGCATAGTTCGCGAATGCGACCCGGTCAACGAGATGCTCTTCATTGTTCGAGGACGCCTAGATTCTTGCACAACCAACGGTGGCAGAACTGGTTTCTTCAACACCTGCAGAATAGGCTCGGGCGACTTCTGTGGGGAAGAGCTTCTCCCATGGGCCTTAGACCCTCGTCCAACCGTTGTTCTTCCTTCTTCAACACGAACGGTGAAAGCCATAACCGAAGTTGAAGCTTTCGCACTCATTGCCGAGGATTTAAAATTTGTAGCAGCGCAATTCCGCCGCTTACATAGCAAACAACTGAGACAAACCTTTAGATTCTATTCGCATCAGTGGCGGACATGGGCGGCGTGTTTTATACAAGCGGCTTGGTTTCGGTATAAAAGAATGAAAGAGATAAATGAGGTTAAGGAAAAGGAGAATCTCATGATGATGGCAAATGTGAAATATTATGGACATGATGATTCTCAATATTTTTCTGCACCTTTGCAGGCTCCAATGGGATCAAGTTATTCAATGTATTCTGGAAAACTTGTAGGTAGTTTAAGGAAAGGTAGGAGTATGAGATATGGGTCTGAACTTGATCTTCTTGGTGCATTAAGGAAGCCTCTTGAACCAGATTTCAATGAGGATGGTGATTAAAGAAAATTAAGGAATGAAAAGTTGTTTGTATGGAGAAGGTTTATTAATGATTAGTGTTGTTAATGTATGTTAATTAGGATCATTACTAGTGGACCATGTGTTCTGCTTATTAGTTAAATTTGTTATAGTATGATGAACTTTTATCAGTTTTAGGCTAGGGGTCAAGGATCAAGGATGGAATTAATGGAAATGACATAGGTATGAAGTGAAAATTTTCATGAATAAACCATTTGACCACTCTTTTGAGAGTTTTATGTAATACTCCAATGTGATATGCTAAAAGCAGTGTTCAAAATACAAAGATATATTCAAATTCAAAATCAGTATTATATTATATTTTCATAAGGCATACATTTAGAACTGACCTGTCTTTGTTGTTTAGAAGTTAGTTAATAAGGTGGTTAGGTGGTATAAATAATTTCATACCTACTTATATATATGGTTAATGAAGGTCTGAGAAACACAAAAAAGAGGGGGAATTGGGTTGTATTAAATATAATCTTTTCGCAACTCAAACACAAGGATAACAAGTGAATAAAAATAGATGAACACAATTATTTTTATTCTGGTTCATTGTTAACTAAGTTACTTCAATCTTCCTCAAAAGGTGATTTGTCTTATACACAAAAACTTAATCTACTATAATCAACTAGATTACAGATAATCACAATAAGTATGACCAACCTTATTGGTACCCCCAATAAATCAATCGATCTTTATTGCAAGTCCACTATGAGCGCAACCAAAGTCTTCTTGAGAATCCAGACTATACAAAGTCTGTAACACCCTTCTAAATCCATCTATAATTTATATATAATTTACGAAAATAATTCAAAGAAAACCACCAATAAAGGTGTCACATCTTCATATAAACATCATATAAAACATCATGCTCCGTAACAGAGATTTTCAAAATCAATTATAACGAATACTTCATTAGTAACAACAATAACACTTCAACTACTCGCAGCGGAATTCATAGTTTTAAAACACTTTTATTAAAATACTTCATAGTAGCTTCATCATACTTCATCGTTCATAATTCATAATTCAAATAACTTCAATACCATGAAAGTTGTAACACCTCGATTTAATTAAGATTATTTTAATTAATGATTTGATGATATGATGTGATGTGATGTGATGTGATGTCTTTATTAGAGAATAGATGTCTTAGAATTATGAGGGGTATATGACTAAATATGTAGAAACATATGATTGTGTAGTATAATAATAATTTTTATTATTATATTATAATACTAAAATTATTATTATTTTATAATAATAATTAAATAATTTATTAATTGGGATAATTATTTTTAATATTGAGATATATTAGAGGGAGAAGAAGAGAAAGAGAGGAGTACGTAGAAGCAGAAAAAGAAATTGTAGAAGTGAGGAACATAAGAGAAAGGAAGAACCTAGGGCTAAAGGGAAGACTCCATTGAAGAAGGGAAGAAAACTCAAAATCCTAAGGTAAGGGTGGAGTTCTAACTCTATAAGGGATCGTATGATGATGGATATGGTAGAGTTAGGTTGCATAATTGTATAATCATCCTTATGTAAATTTAGGGTTTGTGTGATTTGTTTGTGTAATGATAGATGATGATGAATTGGTGTGAAAATTGTCAATTTTGATGATGTAAAATGTTCCCAATTGATAGTTATAATTTAGACATGTTTGGTAGAACCATTGTTACTAAGTCATGTTGAAATTTGGTGAATTTAAAGTGGTTTGAGAAGGAAAATCGCAACCTACATAATTGCAGAATTTTTTGGAAAAAATAACAGTGGTAACTAGTTACCATTGGGGAGTAACCGACTACCACTTGAAAAATTGAAGAACAAAAGCTATCGTGTTACGTAGTAACCGGTTACCGCTGACAAATTTTTGAAAAATAGAAGCTATTGTTTCATTCAGTAACCGGTTACCGTAACACAGTAATCGGATACCACTAAAGGACGTAGTTCACTACTGTTTCATTCAGTAACCAGTTACTGTAATGCAGTAACCAGTTACCACTCTGTTGGACATAATTTTGAAAAATTGAAAACTCCATAACTTTTTACTCGGGTATCCATTTGACGCGCCGTTCGAACCTATGACAAGCTAAAAATATTTTCTAATCAATAAAAATAGTTTGGATACAATATGAAGTGATTTACTAAATTTTATGTTATTCCAATGTTTTTTTGAAATTGTGAAGTTGTGAATACGACGATGAATATGAAGAAATTTCATGATGTAATGATGTTGTGATGATATATATATAAATAATGATGTGTGATTAACTAGATGTATTGATTTGATTGTTGATGCATGTTGTGACGTTGCATTTGTTGTCATACATGTTAGTGTTGCATGCATCTTCATAAATGACGGTGTGGCCTTAATGGCAAGTGACAATGTGGCCTTAACGAGAAGTGACGGTGTAGCATGTATGGTAAAGGGATGTTGTTATGGTACCACATGCATATATTTAAAGAAGTCGGTCTCATTGCATTATGACGTTGTTGTTGAAGAAATATGATTTGTTGTCATTTGGGTGTGATTGTTGAAATAATGTTGTGTATTCGTGTTGAAGCATGAAGTGTGAATGAATAATCATGTATGTTGTACTTTACTTACTCATTATCATATATTCGTTTATATTTTTATGATATTGCACCCCTTATATTTGAATGTTACCTCTTCGTGGATAACATGCAGGTGACAAAGTTTAGAGTCACGTGAGGTATGCAGTTGTGCCTCGTAATTGCGTAGATCAACTCGGGTCTTGTTATGATACGTAACACCGAGGATGCATGTTGTTTTACCTATTTAGTCGTTGTTGTATTTGAAAAACTATGAGAGTAGAATGGCTCTTTTATTTCACTTTATTTGATAAATGTTGTTTTGTGGATTGTTGGATTTGTAAACCAATTATATTTTGGATTGTTTTCATTGCGTTAATGAGGTGAAGTTGAATATCATGGTGATTATGATGACGGTTCATCCGAAAATAATGTGTTATGTATCCATTTGTTTGTTTGAGCAATTTTTAAGACGATGAAATGCTACATCCTATTTTGATGATGATTAGAACATTTTATTTACTCTGATTTTATTTAATTATTCGACGGGGAAAAATATGGTGTTACAAAAGGTAGTTCAAAATCTCAATATAAATGAAAGAACATAATTATCCAAACAAACGATCTCAACCCCGATGTTAGATGTCAGGGCAAGATCCACTTTATTCAACAGAAAATAAAGAACGCATTCCAAAAATATCCTCTAAGCTTTAACGGACAACTCCTGATCACCTGCAAGTTACCCACATATAGAGACAACATTTCCAAGCAGAAAGGGTGAGTAATCACAAATTATTATAAAATATATATGGATTAGATATAGTAGTATAAAAAAATAATCATGGATTCTACATATCATCATACTTCACATATTATACTCACACTTTCGCATCATAAATACACATCAATTATATCATTAAATCATCACAATAACATCCATCGCCAAGCGTCACTAAAATCACAATGTAATCAACATCACTTAATGAATCATTATGCAATATCACATATAATATAATGCAACATCATTGACTCATGCATATGGTACCAAAAACTTCACTGATGACTAAGTCATCTTCCTCCAAAAATCTCCACCATAGGATCGGTTCCCGCTTGGAACAAGAGCACATCATAATATTACACTCAATCTATACTATGGAATTGAGGCTATCACTGGACTGTCGTCCTAACAACATCACTGGACCAACGTCCTAACATCACTAGACCAATGTCCTAACTTATGCCATGAATGCATGATGCGCAACAACATAATACACACGACCACTGCTAGTCAAAACACATTATCATTCATGAGTTCATCATAATATCATCACATACATCATAATACATATGACGTCATCACAAAAACATCAATCTATCATACAAATATACATCATGTTACACAAATCGCATAATCACATCGATTCATCATAGTGTCATCATAGTTCATCACACAAAGGTCTAGTCTAATCATAGAAAGATACTATAAATATACATACTTTTACTCATTTTATTCTTCCTAATTATATTTCATCGCGATAACTATCCAACAACGACGTGTCAAATAGAGTCTGAAAACTTAAGTTATGGCATTTATAAAATCTCCGCAAGCAATCTTGCTCGCTACCACCTCGCCCGAAAAATGAGTCTGTTCGCCTGGTGCTAGTCCAGCGAAGCCAAGGCGACGGGCTCTCTCGCCTCTTACTTGCCTAGTGAGGCTGGAGAAAAGCTCCTCTTCCCATACATTTTCCAGAAGCAACCATTTCCCACCCATTCCTTCGCTTCTTGTCTCGCTCGGCGAAGACCAGGCGAAATTACTTCGCATGACGACGCGTTCTAGACAACAACTCCCTGTTGTGATTCTATACCTGTTCATTCCCGAATTCTCTTGCGATTTCATATCAATGATAGTCCAAATTCATCCCAAATCATCTTGTTTTCATTATACAACAAAAATACAACCTTATAGGCATCAAGTGCATCAAATCATGGCAAACAACATGATATTTTCATCAATTTCATCACAATCATCATGTTATCGAATTCATCATAAAACCCCAAAAAACCTACATACATCTAAACCCTATATCAATCATAATAATAAGGATAACCCCCTACCTTAGATTCCCAACCTTGATCTTCCTCTTTGTGTTCTACCCTAAATTCCTTTGTTCTCCTCCTGTCCTAATTGTGCTGCATTCTTCTAACTCTTTTCACGATCGAACACACTGACACACTTTTCCTCTATTCCTTGTTTAACCCTTGGACCCTTTCTATGGTCTTCCCATATTACCCTCACCAATCCTCATAATATTACCACCTTTCCCTTCGCACTTCTATACCTTATATTCTATCTACTTTAATAATAATTCTAAATAATTAAAGTTAATAATCTAAAATACAAATAACCCTCATATTCATATTAGTAC